TTAAGCATACATTTATTTCCTCAGTTCTAGTTTTCCTGTTGATTGTTATTGTACTTTGGACAATACTAAATTAATTCGGCTGATGAGTCTGAATAATCTGATAATGTTTTCTACATATTTTATTATGAGTTCCAGATTACAAACAGGGCCATTGGATTGAGGGATAGTCCCCAATATCAAAGGTCCCACCCCATGTCATGTAATTCGGACTATACAATAATTTTTTTATTATATAATATAATTCTAAAATTTTCTTATTTCTTTTTCTCGTGGTGGGGGTGTGCTTACTGGTGCTTCCAGGATGTGCTTCCAGCACGACTAAGGTTTTCTATCTCTCTTCTAATTGCAGGTTATCTCTCAGAATTTAAAATAAACTCGGGTTTCATTCGACCTGCATTGGTGTGATTGAGGGGTTGTGTTATACGCGGCTTCCTTACCTTGCTGACTCGATGCGACATATGCCATTAACATTCGAAAAAGGCTTAATCTGTGTACCGTCTCTGGTGGCAAACTTGGCAGGGGATCTTGATTTGTGAAAACGTGCAGTCTAGATCGGAGATTTATGGTTATATAATTTATGATTTTATGTAGAGCAAAAATCACTAGTTTCACTCCACTTTGATTGAAAATTTTGTTGTATGATTGAGAGGCCATTCATAAGCTTGATCTGGTCCCTTATCTACCAGTTTTCCGGCTCTGCTAAACATTTTTCACCCAATAAAGGTCCTATGTATTTTTTTGTTAAGTACAATTTGAGAGTAGGGTCACTATTTAAATTTTAATTATTATTAAAATATTAAATATATCTACTAAGTGATCCATAAAGACCAATGAAGGTCCTTATGTTACGGGTAAAATAAAGGCAAAATCTCATCTTTGTATCTTTATATATATATATATATATATATTTTTTTTCGTAGTTAAAATTTTTAAAATTTTCTTTTTGGTCAATATTTTTCATAGTTTGAAATTTATTAAAAAAATTTCAAATTACAAATAAAGTAAGGGTGTATATCAAGGATTTTGAATGTTAATTTTGAGATTTTTATGAATTTTAATTTATAAAAGTGTTAGCGGTATAAAATTCTTTAAAATTATTGATTAAAAAAAATATAAGATATAAATAAGAAGACTGGACTAAAATAAAACCGAATATTGAAAGTAGATTTATTTTGGGAATAATAAATATTTTGGAAAGCTCGAAAATTGGTAACAGGATTCCTAACCAGAATTATATCTGAAAATTGAAATCCCCTATGTTCTCCCTCCTTTCCTTGCCTTCCTCAGCACTGCGCCCCCTATCCCCGCTCTCTGGTATTTCAGTCTCCATGGTTTAGACTCCTAGCGGATATTTCCGCAACGGCAGATATGACACCAGAGAATTAGCCTCCACACTCTCTCTGGCATTCTCAGTTTTTACTTTCGATTTCTCATTTCACGTCACCGCTTTTTCTACATTTCTGCATGTAATTTTGAAAGTTGAAGATAGAAGAAGTTCCTTGCTTGGGTGTCGCTCTAATTTGAAAGACAGCATATATTTCCTATTAGATTTGGAGATTTTTGGGTAGTTGTATTTGCGTTATTTTATGTGGTTTTCCTTTGTCTTTTTTTCTGTGGCAGCAAATTGTTAGTGGTACGCTTTGTGTGGTTTTGTATTTTTGTTTCCTTTTTCCAGTGAAGATATGTGAAATGGGATGTTTGTATTCCATTTCCACATGCATGTTTCTTGTAGCTCTAAGAATATAGAAAAGATGAAGTAGCCGAAGATTGTGCAGTGATTATAATGTGGTTTAGGCATTTGATCAAACACTTGGGGTGCATTTTCAAGTAGGGATTTTTCCTTGTGAAACTGTTACAGCTCAACAAGAGAAGGGAATGGAAGCAGGTATGCAATGGTTAATTACATTGAAATTTTGCATCAATTTCTGAGCTGATTAGATATATGTACAAGTAAGATCTGGCTTCTCCATATTCAGATTGAATTCAGGAGATTCCGGAAAGGATTGGGAAGCTAGATACTTCACATAGAAAGTGGATACCCTCTGCTTCCTCAGTTCAAACTTTGACAATTTGATGAAGATAAAGCTCTTGCTTAGAGGATCTCCCATTGTCAATTATGACCAGCCAACCCCAAAAAACCATCCGATTCTAGGTATGAATTTCAATTTCAAATATATTGCCCAGGGAAAGTTGGTAAATTGAGGCTTGTAAACATAGCCATTAGCCTGTTTGACTGGATAAATGTTGTAGCTGGGTAAAGGACTCTGGTTTTATGTTCTAGGTCTCCATTTTAGAGTGCTGATATCTAACATTAAAGCAATTAAGGTAGGGTTTTGTGTTTTCTTTTCAGTTTGTGGTCATTAGTTCATTAACGACCATGTCATAGCTTTGCTGAAGTAGTTGACTCGTCTTTTTTTGTCACTGAAGGTGTTAAATAAGATTAGGAATGTAGCTGTTGTAAAATAGAACTGTGGAGAATGGAACTAGGAAGTTTCTAGGTGTTATTAGTGTAATTTTGGAAGGTAGGTAAATAGTGAGTTCGTGACCTTAATAAGAGTTGATAAGCACCAATTATACCAAGTTGACATCTTAAAATGATTAGAGATGAGTATCTTTTCCCTACTCTTTCATTACTTTGACTCAGCAGCCAAGCATGATTATCAAAGTGTGGAGATGCTGCTTCCAGAAGTAGAAGACAGACTAAAACCCCTGTTTTTGCCAAGAGTTTTACGGATATCAGTTACTGATGCAGAGGCAACTGATTCCTCAAGTGATGATGAGAATGGCTGCCCAAGAAAACCACCCAGAAAGAAGTTAGTGAAGGAGATTAGCATATGCCCACCATGCTCAACTGAGAAGGACAACATTTCAAACTGCAGTACAGAGGAGAGGAAGAAGTACAAAGGTGTCAGGCAGAGGTCCTCAGGATCTTGGGTAGCAGAGATTAGAGACCGTAAAACCCATACGCGGCTGTGGTTGGGTACCTACACAACTGCTGAGGAAGCAGCAATGGCTTATGACCGTGCAAGTGTTAAACTGCATGGACCCAACGCTCTTAACTTTTAAGTCAGTTGATTGCAATGTGCAGCCGTGACTAGAACTAGGAAACTGAATGCATGACATTGTATGTATATATCACAATTGTGTGTACATGGATTCAACTACCGTGCAATGCAGCAATTAGTCTATCAGCTTAACTTTTAACAATTGCAGTAGTTGTAAATTATCTTTAACAGTATTAAACTTGTAAATATATGAGATCCATGTCTCTAATCAATGTTGATTAATTAATTGTGATCTAAATAACCTCAAGCACAGTACTGGCAAGCTGGCATGCAAGGGCAGCTTAGGAATGCAGGAATAAATGTTAGTTATTTGCAATTGCAACGTAGAAATTCGAACGTCTGACTTTGATCTTAGAATTAAGAATTGGAAGCTAATCAACATTAATACCAATGACGCAGTAGCCACATGGTAATTCCTTTTCTCTTGCAAGTAGTGTGTCCTCATCCGTACATTCTGTTGTGAAGTGTATACTCATTAATCAAACAAAAATGTGTTTGGGATCATGGATTACACCACAATGTAAATGACAATGGTTATACCTATCAATAATTTTGTTAGGGTTATTAAGGTTGTCTAATTTTTATTTTAATTTAATAGTTAAAAATAGTTGATAACTAATGAAATATTAATATTTATTATTTAGTAAATTGAAATCAATTTGTAAACAAATATTTTTAAATATCATAAATAATAGAAAAACTATAAATTAATAAAATAACAAGTAAAATTAGTGACCTTAACAAAAACAATGGTCGACATAACCTCAGCCCAATGTAAAATATTAATTATTACAGAGAAATCTCCTGATTTAGGATAAGAGTCTCTCCATATAATAGTAGATTTATAGTCTAGATTACACATTTACACTGAATTCTTAATTCTTAATCGAAAGAAAGAAAAATGAAAAATAGAGAAATGCAAAGAAGAGGTCTAGTGATCCATATGCAAATTGGGCCTGGTCTACGACAAGTCGAAACCACCCGGTTAGAAGTCCAAAAAAGGCCCATAAACGACGCCCCCAGCCCATGTAAAAAACCCTAGATATTTTCACTTGATCGAACCAGGGTTTCTAAGGCGAATATCCCGTTCCTCCACTATCCTATATATATACTCCCTTTATCCCCCCTTACTTTCTCCTTACCGAAGAGAGTCCGCAACTCTTGATTCCCTGTCGCCGTCTGTCTCTTCAGGTTCGTTTTCCTTCCGATTCCCTTCTTTTCTCGATCGCCAAACGCCGCTTTCACCTATCATTTCTTGTGTTTTTCCTGTGTAGAGTTCAGATCTGAAGCTCTGGACTGTAATAAAAAAAACTTCATTTTTTTTACATCCGATTTATTTTCTTCTGATTGATTGTGTTTCGTTCGATTTCATTGTTCTGAGATTCAATAGTTTGAGAAATTTTTTTGTATCTGTGTATTGAGATTTTGAAATCTGTTTCTTTTGATTGTTTGGTTGATCTCATCCTCCATGGCTTTACTGGTTTTGTTTACATAATCTCTATGGTTTCGTGTTTGATTTCATTTTTAGATCTTTGTTTGTGAAGAAATTGTTTTAAAACATGTATTTGTGAGCAGTAGATGTGGTTTATGGATTAAATGAATCGAGATATGTGATTTTATTTTTTTTGATTCGATCATTTTGGTTGTGCTGATACTTCAGTTGATTTTTCCTCTTTGATTGCTGTTCTATGGAGTTTTAGCTGAGATTAGATGTTGCTGCTGTCAAAAGCTTTTATATCGTGTTTCTGTCTGATGAATAATTATAACTGAAGTGTGTTTCGTCCTGTTTTATTGATGTTTTTGGTGCAGGAAATAGTAGTTGGTGATATTTAAAGACAAGACAAGATGGTAAGTGCATTTGATCGTAGTTTTCTTGCATAGCACCTGAGTTTTTCTATTTCCATTTTTCTGATGTTGTGTACTTTTTCTTACTGTACAGGTGAAGTTCACAGCTGATGAGCTTCGTAGGATTATGGACCGCAAGCACAACATCCGTAATATGTCTGTGATTGCTCACGTTGATCATGGTATGGGTTTGAATAATGTTGCACTTCATCTTTTTTTTCTTTGGTTTTTTGAGTACTTATGATAAAACATATAAACATGAACTTGTAGCAGATGAAAGTTGATGTTTTGTTTCATGCTTTAGGATATTCTGATTTATAATATTTTCTTGAAAAATTATGCTTAAATTTTTGTACTTAAAATAAATACTGCCTTAGTTCTTTTTGTGGTGTTTGATTTTTCAATTGGATCAAAATTTGAAGTATATTGCATTTTATTATTTCCATCATGCTGATGCCACTTTTACTTGCCCTACAGGGAAGTCCACCCTAACTGATTCCCTGGTGGCTGCTGCTGGTATCATTGCCCAGGAAGTTGCTGGTGATGTCCGGATGACTGATACCCGTGCTGATGAGGCAGAACGTGGCATCACAATTAAGTCAACTGGCATCTCTTTGTATTATGAGATGACTGATGAAAATTTGAAGGGCTACAAGGGTGAGCGAGATGGCAATGAATACCTTATAAATCTTATTGATTCTCCTGGGCACGTTGATTTTTCATCTGAGGTTACGGCTGCTCTACGTATTACTGATGGTGCACTTGTGGTGGTTGATTGTGTTGAGGGTGTTTGTGTTCAAACTGAAACTGTGCTCAGACAAGCTTTGGGAGAAAGGATAAGGCCTGTCTTGACTGTTAACAAGATGGATAGGTGCTTCCTTGAGCTCCAGGTTGATGGAGAGGAGGCTTACCAGACATTTCAGAGGGTGATTGAAAATGCCAATGTCATCATGGCTACTTACGAAGATCCTCTTCTTGGTGATGTTCAAGTGTATCCTGAGAAGGGAACTGTCGCCTTCTCTGCTGGTCTTCATGGCTGGGCTTTTACACTGACCAACTTTGCAAAGATGTATGCCTCCAAGTTTGGTGTTGATGAGTCGAAAATGATGGAAAGGCTTTGGGGTGAAAACTTCTTCGATCCCGCCACCAAGAAATGGACAACCAAGAACACTGGCTCTGCCACCTGCAAGCGTGGATTTGTTCAATTCTGTTATGAACCCATCAAGCAGATTATCAACACTTGCATGAATGACCAGAAGGATAAGTTGTGGCCCATGTTACAGAAGCTTAATGTGACCATGAAGGCAGAAGAGAAGGATTTGATGGGAAAGGCACTAATGAAGCGTGTAATGCAGACCTGGCTCCCTGCAAGTAGTGCCCTTCTTGAAATGATGATACATCACCTCCCTTCCCCTGCCAAGGCTCAGAGGTACCGTGTTGAGAACTTGTATGAGGGTCCTCTTGATGATGCTTATGCCACTTCCATCAGGAACTGTGATCCTGAGGGTCCTCTCATGCTCTATGTTTCCAAGATGATTCCTGCATCTGATAAGGGTAGGTTCTTTGCATTTGGTCGTGTCTTCTCTGGTAAGGTGTCTACTGGGTTGAAGGTCAGGATCATGGGTCCCAATTACGTTCCTGGTGAGAAGAAAGATTTGTATGTGAAGAGTGTTCAGAGGACTGTTATTTGGATGGGAAAGAAGCAGGAAACAGTTGAGGATGTGCCTTGTGGTAACACTGTTGCCTTGGTTGGTTTGGATCAGTTCATCACCAAAAATGCAACCCTGACTAATGAGAAGGAAGCTGATGCTCATCCAATTCGTGCCATGAAGTTTTCTGTCTCACCTGTTGTCCGTGTTGCTGTTCAGTGCAAGGTTGCTTCTGACCTTCCCAAACTTGTTGAAGGTTTGAAGCGTTTAGCAAAGTCAGATCCTATGGTTGTTTGTACTATTGAGGAGTCTGGAGAGCATATTGTTGCTGGTGCTGGTGAACTTCATCTTGAGATCTGTTTGAAGGACTTGCAGGACGATTTCATGGGTGGAGCTGAGATCGTAAAATCAGATCCTGTTGTGTCTTTCCGTGAGACTGTGCTTGAGAGGTCCTGCCGAACAGTGATGAGCAAGTCTCCCAACAAGCACAACCGTCTTTACATGGAAGCCCGTCCCTTGGAGGATGGTCTTGCAGAAGCTATTGATGATGGTCGTATAGGTCCAAGGGATGACCCCAAGGTTCGATCAAAGATCCTGGCAGAAGAGTTCGGTTGGGACAAGGATCTTGCCAAGAAAATCTGGTGTTTTGGACCTGAGACCACTGGTCCAAACATGGTAGTTGATATGTGTAAGGGAGTTCAGTATCTGAATGAAATTAAGGATTCTGTGGTTGCTGGTTTCCAGTGGGCTTCAAAAGAAGGTGCATTGGCTGAGGAGAACATGAGGGGTATCTGCTTTGAGGTTTGTGACGTTGTTCTTCATGCTGATGCTATCCACAGAGGTGGTGGTCAGATCATTCCAACTGCTAGGAGGGTTTTCTATGCTTCCCAGTTTACAGCTAAGCCAAGGCTTCTGGAACCTGTTTATTTGGTGGAGATTCAAGCCCCTGAGCAGGCACTAGGTGGTATTTACAGTGTTCTTAACCAGAAGCGTGGACACGTGTTTGAAGAGATGCAGAGGCCTGGTACCCCACTTTACAACATCAAGGCATACCTGCCCGTCATTGAGTCTTTCGGATTCTCAAGCACTCTGAGGGCAGCAACATCAGGGCAGGCTTTCCCTCAGTGTGTGTTTGACCACTGGGACATGATGTCTTCTGACCCATTGGAGCCTGGTTCTCAAGCTGCTACACTTGTTGCAGATATCCGCAAGAGGAAGGGCTTGAAGGAGCAGATGACACCTCTTTCAGAATACGAAGACAAGCTGTAAGCTTGTTCTTCTTGTTGGAATTGTTGAACTGAATTTAATGGTGGTAGTGGCCCTTATATTTTTTATTTCTTCCTGTTATTTTTCCCTATTAAATCTTGGAATAGGTTCTTAGTTTTCCGCTACCGGACCTTGACCTTTGAATTATGTTTTCGTGTCTGTTTTCCGTGAATGTTGAGTAGAATTATCTCGTTGTGACGTCAAACATTTTAAATCTCTTCAAGAATATTTAGTTGCGAATGTTTCCCTTTTAAGGTGAAGTTGTGCATTATTCTTGCTTAATGTTAGCTGGGTTATTTTAGTGCTTTTTCATTCACATAAGAATTTCCAAAATTGATTTATGAACTGATTATACCGAGTTTCTTGTACAAAGATCCCTATTCGCATCTCTGCCAAAGGGGTTTTTAACCATCTGTTTCTGCCAAGGTTAAAAGTTGTATTGCAAAGCTTGAAATGATAAAAGGGTAGTGAGAGCAATACAAAAATGATATCTTGACAACCATAATAACGAAAATATCACATGACTTCCTTAGTTTTTTTAACACATAACATGACATAATATAAATTAATGCATTTAATGAGTGAGGCATGATTTGATATATAAATAAAGTTTTGTAAATGTAACCTTTGCACATAAAATAAAATAAAATAAAAAAGAGGGGGGGTTTTTTAACTCTTAATTAAAGGCATCTTTTTATTATAAATTCATAAAAAAAAAATATAATTTAATATTAATTTTAATATTATTGCTATATAGATAAATTTAGTTAGATAATTAATAAATTAAAAATTAATTTTTATTTTTTAACACAAATTTATGATAAAAGAATAAATTTATTACACTTTTAATATTTAAAAAGATAAAAATAAAAGAAAAAGGTCAATTAGAGAAGTACTAAACTGAAAAATTTTTTAGTTTAGGAATGAATTGACCATCAAAAGATGGAGAGGGCAAAAAAATGTTACCAACCAAATGCCACTAAAGTATCTCCTAAGTCAATCCATAACAAGAAAGAAAAATAAAATTACGGGGCAGGAGAACAAAATAACTCTAGGTGATTATCAAAGATGGTCCTTCTTGGCGGTCAAGGCGCTATAAAGAATGGTGTTCAGAGTTTTACCTGAAGCTACTTGGCCTTCTTGAGGAGGTAAGAAGTTTGGAACTCGGCGTCGTCCCTGATGAAACTCCACCATAAGTTGGTAAGAGGAATTGTGGTGGCATGCCAGATGGCATGGGCGTCAAAGAATCCTAGGTAAGGAGGGAAGTCATAGATTTCTAGGAGCATGGCAAGGCCACCTCCAATGACTACCACCCACAACTTCCAGCGAGAAGGATGATGAATCCAGCCAGCCCAGATTGCCCAAATGAGAAGTTGTGCGACTACCATTACAACACAAACTTTCATGTTCCACCCTGTGAAATATCCAACACGAAAGCAGTATTACTGGTAATTCATCCAATCTATTCAATAACCCAATGCATCTTTTGTCAGTAGTGAAGTAATTAAACGTCAGAAAGAGAATAAAGACTAAAGGGTAAAGGAGCTACCATAGTCTAATTGATAGAAGTTGATATACAGTATGTGGGTAGTGATGAAAGCGAGCAGTGGAGCAGCAACCATGACTCTAGCAGCCTCATGCTTCACATTGAAACTTCTTAGTATTGCTAAAATGAGAGAGTACCCAAGCAATGCCACGGCAGATGAGTAGTCTAACTTTTCCGTCAAGTCCACATCACTATGGTTCAAATAGAAAAGAATTGGCATGCTGTAGTCAGAATCACATACCAGAGAAAGCGAGTCCATATATGCACATACTTTGGGGTGACTGTCAATGTTGTACAATAAAAAAATTTCAAGCTACAGGTCCCCAGTCCCAAGTTCAGATTTGATTGAGGAATGAGAGGATAAAATGCTAAAGGCTAGGTCCACTCTAGAGGAGTTTTATCTTGGAAAGACCAACATGAGGTGAGAGACATCATAGCTGACCAGATTACCTCAAAAGTTAGACTATATGAATCTCAAAAGGACTCGTAGATGTATGCAGTTTCCACATGCTGGAATATGGAATGAGTTCAAACAGACTGAAGCAATAAGTGAGATCTGTGTAGGCATACCTGGAAATGTCATCCCATGTGAAGAACTCTAGCATTTTCTGGAGTTGTGCTCACCTATACTAGGCAGTGACTTACACTAATAAATAGTCATAGCCCTAAGTAACATGAGACCTAAACTTCAAAGCAAAATGTAGATTTGATGTTCCAGCATGCCAACCAAGTTTATTTAAGAGGAAAATAGAAAGAAGGGTATGGGATGGAAAAAGCTTACCGAGAATGGAAAACAGCACTCCAGAACCATGAGTTCATTGACAACAGCCCATAGATATGCCACAAGCAGGTGTACTCATGGTATGCCTTTTTATTTTGCTTCAGAGGCAACTTATAGTTCAGAAGAACTAAGAAGGATATCCAACCATGAAAATGCATTGCTAGGTTGAGAGCAGAGAAAGCAACAGAAGCAGGTTCCTGATAAAACAAATCAAGACAGATACTATAGAAAACCTTAAATCATCTCAAGAGAACCCAAAAGAGATTCTTATTGAGGTAGAAAACAGGTACATAAGCAAACCTGAATCCCATAAACTCGTGTGAAGGGCCATTTTCCATGATACTTGACAGGTCCATCACCATCTGATTCTCTTTCTTTTTCTCTGTCCAGCATGCAATTGTAACAACAATCACTTTGACAATCCCATTGTTTCCACTTCAAGTAAAGAGGTTCTTGCATGTACCATGGACCTATGGGAACCCCATCCGAAGAAAATTTACAGTGTGGAAAACATCTTTCCCCAATGCATCCAGTTTTTCCACATAGTGCAACACAAGCCCTAAAGTACAAACATGCCACAATTTAAACTATTTATATATCAAATTATAATATTTTAATATTGGGTTTCACTAAGTTATACAAGCAGCCAAATCAATTTCAGGACAAGAGTCATACAAGTGTGGCATGAAAGGTTCCAACTTCCATGGCAAGTACAACTATTCATCACAAACAAGAGTTAGCAAACTAAAATATGAAACAAGAACGGAAATTTCTGTGTTTCTATTAATCCTCCATTATTTCCTTCAATGTGGGTGACTTGACAACAGAATGTGGTTGCAACACTTCTAGAACTTCAATGAAAGGTGGCATTTTATTTTGAAAGAAAATTTCCAAATGCCTAGGACAGAGATACATGAGTGAATAACGATCCTTTCCCAACATTCAGCAATTGAGTTATGGTCCAATAAACAACTCCAAACACCTTGTTTGCTAATTGTTAGAAAGGCATAAAACATATCAGTTTTGAAGATGGACAATTTTTCTCTAAGAGGAAAAATGATGGGCAGAAAATATGTTGCAGTTGGCAAGGCCATTAATCATAATAGAACACTGGCATGCTAGCATAAAATGGAAATGCACATGCTGCCAGTTCACAGGAATGGAATCAATAATATATAACAAGATTCAATAGAACATTTCTGGAGTTACATACAGTAGGATTAAGATGCAAGAATAGGGGAGTGCCATATCCAGTGTAGCCAAAGTTGAAGGTCAATATACATTTAACATACATAGAAAAATACATTCACAAAAGTTCACATGTATGTGCATTATATATGTACTTACATATGAACAAACTCCTAAATTCATATTCTGCTAGAGACATTTATATAATGCAGATTGACGCACTATAAGAAATATTCAGAATACCTGTTCCTCTAGTAGAGCCTGCAAATGATACTTCAAATCAAAATTTTAAAAAGAATATGGAAACTGAATCAAAGAATTAAAAATAATTGAATTTGTAGGGCATAGGAAACTATAATAAGACATAATGACAGAATTTTGTAGAGTATATTCTTCCCTTAGATTCCCCTTTTAAAACCTATTTCAAGCATGAGAGGCAATTAACATTCCTGACTGTAATAATATATAAACTAACATGCTTTTAATGTAAAGGGATTAAGTTGCTAGAAGAATTTGTAACCTAGATCCCTCAGTATCTCTATTAGAAACCAACAGCAAGAAGGAACTTAGTTGAAAATGTAAAGATTACATTTGCGCATATAAAGTTGGAACTCATTTTCCTGATACATACCATCACATATGCTATAGACATGCACAAGGAGCCCAACTTACTCCAAAAGATGAAAAAAGTGAAAAACACCAATGCAAAAACTAACAAGCATTAAGCTCCTGAAACATGCTACAGTTAGAATGCCCATACAGTACCGAAGGAAATAGACAATAGGGATAAGAAGGAAACCTGTAGCGTGGATCGGCATCCCCAGCACTAGCATCCAAAACTCCAACAGCACATGACAGAACCAGATAGAAGGCTATTGAATAACGGTCTATCATCTGATTGGAAAAGGGTCCAAGAAAAATCTAAGTATCAGAACAGGATTATCAATGATTCAAAAAAATAAAAATCTAAGCTTGGCTTTTTGTCATGATGTAAAATTGCTATCACCCCATCTAAAACCAACACCCAATATTCATTCATTAAGCAACTAGTGCAATTGGGTATTCCACCTAACATCCATTAATTCAAGAAATGCAGCTGAAACTATGATTGAAAATATATTTTGAAAAAAAAAAGAAAAAAGCCTCAAAGACCAAGTGAGCTCACTGCAGATCAAGAACAAATAACACGAGGAAGAAGCAGGGATAAAGATAGTACTTTACCGTTTAATTGAAGAACCCCAGTTCCCGAATGAATCTTCCTCCTTTCAGTTAGAATTCAAGGTCAGCTGAATCTTTCTCTCTTCAACTGAATTTGATTCTATTTCTCTCTGAGCGCATAGAGAGAACGAAAGAGAGAGATTAAGAAATGGCAATTGGGCTAAACGGACTAATTCCCACAAAATGGAGACCTGTGTGGCTGTGTCTCAGTAATGGACGACAATCGCCATTAAAGACCTCGTGACCTTGTTTTCTTCTTCACACAACCTGGGGTTATAGCCGGACGGAATTTCACTGGAGAATTGATTTCGATTAGGATGGTGAAACCAAATTATTCTTCTTTGACATCGGTTTTGGTTCTTTCGGGACAGTTTGTTGGGTGTTCGTTGGTTCTGTTGCTGAAGAGAACAAAGCAGTGGTAACCAGGCCTAACTGGACCAAATGAGCCTAACTAACTCACATCGGTTTCTCTTTTCTGACAAGGGCAAATTAAGATATGCCCTAGCACTTGAGTCTTCGGATCAGTTGGCATTCTACGAGTTTGAGGTGCATTTTTTATTTTTCATGAGTAGGTTTCAAGTTCGTTTCTTGATAAATTATTCAAAAAAAAAAAAGATATAAACTCTTAAAAAAAGAAAAATGATACCGTTATAAAATGACACAACTGTTATTGTAAATTTATAATTTTAATATATTATTATATAATTAATTTTTTTATTTAAGAGTCCTCTATAATATTTATACAACAAAAAGGTGATAAATTAAAGTAAACATATATACTACTATAAAAACTTGTGATAACTTACAATATGTTGTTATATGATTCACTTTTTTTTTTTTAATTTAGAACTCGCATGTGATATTTGCATATGTTTGTGTGTTATATATGATTATATGATTTATTCTTTTGATTTGAGAATTGCCATGATAAATTTATCTTTTATTATATCACAGAAAAATAAGACAATTTAAAATAAATAAAAATACTGTTATAAAAAATTTTCACAAAGAGAAAGATATAACTATATAACAGAAAATAACCACTTTTTCTAAAAATGTCTAATTTAAAGTGTCAAATTTAAGTTATCAGTTGATACATTTTTTCAGGGGGATAAAGATAGAGATATGTGTACTTTGCATGCTTTTCTTTTCAATTTGATGAATGAGTCACCCTATAGTATGGGGCACTTCTCATATTTGAAGATTCGAACTTTGATGCTTTTAATTTTGATATATATCAACCTCTTAGTATAACTAATTCCGAAAGGCACCAAAAATAAAATTAGGATGGTAGGGACAATATTAACTAACAAAAATTAATTATAATCACATACATATATATATATATAATTTCAAAGCCGGGGCACACAATATAAAGCATAATATCATGTTATAATCTTCCACCATCTATATCAGAACCTCATTTAGATTCTCTAATCACAGGCCCAGCTTCTCTTTAAATTAGTACCACCATCACAGCTGTGTTTAAAAGCTTTGTTTAATTAAGAGTGTTTGAATTTATAAATAAGAACAATTAAACATATAAAATTATTTAAATTATAGATAATAATAGTTATTAACTGTCCAGTATCAGTATAAAAAAAATACTGTTCAATATCATACTATTAGCTATCAGCTATTGTTTAGTAACTAAACCGAGCAACCTTAAGCATTTACATAAAAGTCGGATCGAGAGCAAACTCTACCACTGATCTGAGTTCATCCAAATCCCCATAAGTGAACAAGTGATCATAGTTGAAATTACCCTCTAGATCTGCAAGGCTTGAAGAAGTAGATGCCATGGTCGTCAATAGAGGTTGATGATCACTACTCATGCACTGCTCCCCATTCCACTGCAGGCTTCTTCCATTGATGTTATTATCATAATTCACAACTGGCTTCTGATCATCAAAGTGATGGTAATCTATGGCTGCAGGAGCCCCAAAACTTATGTAACTTCCTCTGTTATCTGACTCCATGCTGCAAGCTTTATAGCTTGTTTGATGATGTTCACTCGAATTTCTTTTGGAATTTTCTCTCGATTGATCAAGTGAATATAACTTCCTTTGTGAAGAACTTCTTTTGAAAATTCGGCAAATAGTCCATACTTCCTGTAATAATTAAGGAGAACAGATTAAGTTTTTAGGCAAAACTGTTCAATCTTATAACA